TCAAAATTAAAGATCTAGGAAACCTCAAGTACTTTCTTGGAATAGAGGTGGCTAGATCAGTTAAAGGTATCCAAATTTGCCAAAGAAAATATGCGCTAGATATCCTATCAGATTCAGGGACGATTGGAGTTACTCCAGCCAAGATTCCATTTGATCAGAATGTCAAATTGTCCAAAGATGAGGGAGACATACTATCTGATCCAGCTTCATACAGAAGACTTGTTGGGAGGCTGCTTTATCTGACCATTACCAGGCCTGATCTAACATATTCAGTGCATTTGCTGAGTCAATATATGCAGGCTCCCAGAACATCACATATGAATGCTGCACGAAAGATACTTAGGTACATCAAGAGAGCACCAGGCTTAGGATTATTCTTCTCTTCAAATTCAGATCTACAACTCAGGGCTTATACTGATTCAGACTGGGGGGCGTGCCCAGATTCTAGGAGGTCAATAACAGGTTATTGTATCTTCATTGGGTCCTCACTGATATCTTGGAAATCTAAGAAACAAAATACCATCTCCAGATCATCTGCTGAAGCAGAATACAGAGCAATGGCTGCCACCTGTTGTGAATTAACTTGGCTCAGATACATACTTAATGACTTGCAAATATCACATCCACAGGCAGCTGAGTTATTTTGTGATAATCAGGCAGCTTTGCACATTGCGGCCAATCCAGTATACCATGAAAGGACCAAGCATATTGAGTTGGATTGCCATTTAGTTCGAGACAAAATACAAGAAGGAAGCATTATTACAAAGCATGTAAGAACCGATTTACAAATTGCTGACATATTTACTAAGCCCTTGTGTTTTGCTGTGTTCAATTCGCATTTGTCCAAGATGGGAGTAGAAGATATCTACTCTCCACCTTGAGGGAGGCTGTTGAAGACTCAATTGTGAAGATGAGCTACTGGAAGCTACTGAAGCTGCTGGCAATTACCGGAAATAAAGGAGTGCTAGCACTAATATGAAAGTGTTAAAATAGATTCCATTTATTAGTTGTAATTTGTTGTAACAGATTTGTTATTGCCACATGAGCAAGTTTGTTGTAATTTTGTCTATATATACCTTTGTAATTTGTCCATTCAATCAATGAAAAATTATCACTTAGCAGACGGATTACTGCTGCATTGATCTTTTATATTTCTTGTTTCATTTGTTTTAAACCACAATGTCTTTTGCGCAATCTGGGGGCAGTTATTTATTTAATTATTTTTGACCTATAGTTCGACACTATTTTAACCGTTTAGCTCAGTCCTATCTTGATCCCTTTGTTTAGTATCACGTCCTTTCATCAAATTAACATTGGATTATCAATCTTTCCTCCTCAATCAAATTCAGTGAGGGGCAACCAACTTCAAACGTTTCTCATCTTTCTTGAATAAAAATTAGTTACCTATACTGGGGAAGAGACATCCCAGCAGCTTTTCCAAAATCATCTATATTTGCAGTATATCTTTCATAGTTTTGATTTATAGCAAGAAGTTGTGTGATATTGAATTGCATTCTTTTGAAGCATATCAAGCAATCCACCACATCATGAGTGGTACTTACAGATTACTGAAGATTCATCCCTTACTCGGATTATTCAAAGCCAACCGTAAAGAAACAATCTCTCACCAAAGCAAAGCCAAGCCAAGCAAAGCAGTTTCTCTATTAAATTGTCCTTGCGTCTAATCCTCTTTCCTCATCCTGCATAATCTCATTTGGTGGAAAATCTCTAGCCTCTAATTGATTGACTGAGTTCTGTAACTGTGATTCTTCTGCAACTTTTATGGCTTTGCCACAAGACGCATAACTGCTTGCAAAGAAAGTGAAATATATCAAGTTGATGACTCCTAGAGTAGCAATAATGTAATAGTAGTAATCGAGCCTGTTCTTGTTAAGATCATGTCCACCAAGCCATGGTGATTTTCTGTTTCGTCCAGTTACAGAGCTTATTACGTTGACAATGAGGGCACTTAGGTAGCTTGCAATTGACAGGCTGAGAAAAAAGATTGAACCCGCAACACTTCTCATGCTTTCTGGCATTTGTACTGTAACAAATTCCATTATAGCAACAGCAGAAAAAGCTTCTGTAAGGCCGGATAGGATAAACTGAGGCACGAGGAGTAGAACAGGAACTGAGGAGGTGAAAGAACCTTGCTTTATAGCTAGTTCTCGTCGCCTCTTTTCAACAACTCCAGCTACCACCATGCAGAGGATTGACATAACAATCCCGATTCCAATCCTGTGCTGTAGCAGTAACCTTGAACGCCTTTTCAATATTTTCTTAGCAGTGGGGATGTATATGCCTTCATAAATGTATATCCAGATAGAGAGTGCAATCATCGATGTTATGGACAACCAAGCAGGTGGAATTTTGAAATGATTCCCAACTGATCTGTTCATCTGAATTGCTTGCAGGACTCCAAATGTGCTTTGCTGGTCCATGACTAGGAAACAAGCAATGCCCGAAAACCATACTGGTATAATCCCAACCAAACACTTCAATTGTTGTACTTGTTGTACACTGCACAATTTCCAACTATTTGTAGGCATACCTTGTGCATCCAATTCCCCTGGATCAGTTATCACAGCAGCCTTGTCAAGGCAGTTAAACCTTTTCAGTTTTGTCGGGTTAGCTATTTCCGCTTCCTTTTCTTGCACAGGGTCATAGAAAGAGTGCTGATTATCAACTGATCCGAGGTTTATCTTTCGTTTCCTAAAAGAAGCTGCAACTACCTTTGCCATGTCTATAAAAACACTTCCCTGAGTCTTCTTGTATATGTAAGTATGTTGACCAATCAAGAAAACTGTGATTGAAATGGCAAGACAGGCTGTTGGGATAGCGAAACCTATCATCCAGCTGATATTTGTCTGAATGTAGACGACCCCGGTTAGGGCTATCACAAGCGCTACTGTGAATAACAAATACCACCAATTGAAGAAGCTTTCAAGCTGGGCTCTTCCTTTCTCAGTTTTTGTATCAAATTGATCAGCACCAAAGGCAATGTTGCATGGCCTAATGCAACCTGCTCCAAGTGCAATCATTCCGAGAGCGGTAAACAGGAAACCAAGCTGCAATTTGTGGGGCTGTGTGCATGGAGATTGTTCATTGCATTCTGGAGGCCTTAGTTGAGGTATACTTGTTGTTAAGGTCATACCAACCATTCCCTGGCATTGCAATGGAAACTTCTATAATAATACTGTAAAAACTTTACATCACCCACATATCATACATCATTGACAGGTTTTGTCTACGTGGTACTACGAGGTGTTAATGGACTATAATGAACTTTACAAAAGAGTGGCTTCTGCCTGATCGATGTGGTTTTCATATTGGCAAAATTCTATTGTTCCAGGAAGGAAAAAAAAAAGTACGCTCGAAAGATTGGATAGCGTTGGACACTACTATGGATAAAAACAGAAGAAGCTAAAATCTTGTCCATTATATTGTTTACTCCGTTCACAATATTACATACCAAACATACACTATATGCTATGTATATCATATGAAAATCTAGATATATGGATTTATAGATCGATTGGTGGTATATGATCAGTATCAATATGAAAGAGAGGAAATCTAATTCATCTAAAACATAAAGAAATTTAATTTGTTTATGATCAATCAAAATCACCTTTCATTGACATATTTGGTGGGATGCACGAGTACTATTCATGTATTAATTACTCATTTTTATTTATATATAATTTAAATAAAAAATAACTCCCAAATATGCTAAATGATGTTACCAAAAGCGAGCAAATGGTGCCAATGAGGAGAGTGAGAAATCTTCCAAGACAAACATCGGAGATTATGGCACCGGCTATTGACGAGAGATTAGAACTACCAGACCATATTGTAACCACATTAACAAGAAGTATGCCATTCAAGTTGTATTTCGTACGCAGATACACTGTGATGTTTGCTACCAGGCTCATCGACGCCAGTTTCTCAAACGATTCATTTCCTGAAAAACAAAAAAACACGAAAACACAAACAATTTATGTTGAGACAAAACATATTCAAAGTTTTGTCTTCTCTAGGTTGATGCTTGAATTGAGTTATATAGCATTGGATTTACCAAGAATGTACTTTATGGCTCTCCATCCACCTGCAGGTTTCTTGGGTTTAGATTCAAGAGAAAGAGGGTCTTGTACACCAGTAGAGTGAGAATAACTTTCAGTCTCCATCTCTATCCCTTTCTCTCTCTAACTCTTTTAACTTATTTCTCTCACTTAGAATCATTTATATGAAAACTGGATGATTTGTTAAAAAATACTTATTACTCGGACAAGTTAGGAAAGGTTAAGATGTGAACGAAAAATCTGCTACATAATCATTTTTATATTTAATTAATGGTTCTGATTAATTCACAAGTTTTTTTACATAAATCTTTGCTAAGCCACCAATATCACATTTTCCCATGGCACTGCATCAAATACGAATCTTGCATTTCATGGTCGTTACATTTATTTGTTTAAATTTTTCGACGTAATCCTGAATTTTTCCTTCATAATTTTGCAATTTAATGGTGTGACAATATGCTAGAATTATAAAAAGATTAACCAACGTTTCATGTCCGGATTTGCATCAACAAACAGTCGAAATTTGAGGACGGTATAATCAGTGTGAAAGAGAATATTCAAGGAATTTCGGGACAATTCTGGGACACCTTCCATTTCCCTTTGGAGAAAACTATAAAATTTTATATGAAATGAAAATTGTCTGCTAAATATACAAGTTCTGAAGAAATAAGATAGAAAATTATGTTTGCTATTTTAGTTTGGGGCAATTACAGAAATACCCTATATTTTGGGGCACTTTTGAAAAATCATGACAAA